GTAGATGGAGTTGAGAGCCTCTCCCAGGCCGAAGAGGCAGCGCGGCGAGGGCAGCGGCGGCATCCCCAGCCACTCTGAGTCCAGGTGGTCAAACTGCGGGCCGGGCCGCCAGTCAGCGACCGCTCCCCACGGCCCCCACCCCAGTCCCAGCCCAGCTCCGGCCATCCCCCGGGTCACAGAGGAGTCCGGACCTCCAGGTAGGGCCAGCACGGCCTGGAGGCCGTGTCTGGAGACGGTGCCCCTCCTGTCCGGCTGAGAACAGCCAAGCGTCTCCCCGCCCCCCAGGTGCCCGGAGACCACCATTATAGCACTGTGATAGGCAACCCATGCGCAGCTGAGAGGAGGCTTCAGAGGGAGGTCTAGCTGCCGTCCTGGCCTTTCCCCAGTACAACTCCTGAATTGAGGCCTGCCCGCCCCCTGTTTTCCACACCCTCCCACAGCACAGGGAACGTCCAAAAACAGCCACTCTCCCCTTAAAATCTGCAGTGTAAGTCTGCAGCCCTGTGCACCCTGGCAGTCTTAGAATAACCATACTTGGGGCTCATCCTTGGGGAGAGTTTTCTGAGGGCTGAGCACTGTGCTGAAGAACACTATTTAACCATCAATTAACCTTCAAACAACTTTATCAAGCAGGAAGACTAGCATCCCCATTTACAAATGGAAGTCCAGGGAGAATAAACAGTGTGCCCACAATGTCCCTTGGCTGATGGAGCTGCCACACCCCCCTGCCCACAACTTAACCCTGACATCAAGCAGCCCCTCACCCTTCTCAAACCTGGGCTGGCCTCACTGAGCACACCACTCACTAGGCTCCTTCCCTTCTCCATCCCTTGCTCACCGTCCCCTAGCAGAAGCAGTACACCCTTCCCTCTAAGTCTCCAAATTTCACCCAGCTAGCAAGGCTTAAACTGACATGGCCAGTCATCAGGAAAGTACTTCTGCCCTCTGAGGTCCCACTGTCACATTACAACTTGGACTAGGCACCCTACTCTCCTGGGCCTTCCTGGGCCTCAGTTTCCCCATCTGTGCAATGGGAAAGGAGGATGGTCTCCTTGTTTGGGACACTCTGGTTCACAATCCTCATGCAAAGCCCTGCCCATAGTGACCATGCTCCTTCTTACTTTCCCTGACTCCAACCCCTGTGCTGAGCTAGGGCCTCCAACATCCTTGTATGTCCCCAACACTGAGACACAAAAGTTATGCATCTTATTGTTAACTGCCCATAACTATCTTCAGCCTTCAGGCAGTGGCTGTCAGTCATCCTAGACCCAGTGGCATTCCCTAACAAGTAGACACAAGCCTTTTCTGGGCCCTGAGGCTGCTCCCCAGTGCCGAGAAACCAGTACTAGCAGCCCCCTCCCAGGGCTGGCCAGGCACCTGCAAGAAGTAAGCGCTCATGGGGTCCTCTTTGTTGTCCTCGTTGTAAAAGAGTCCCCCAGCCACGAAGATCTGGTTCTCCTTGGTGACCAGGCTGACGTGATTCTTGGGGATCTGGGTGGAGAGTGAGGCACAGTAGCACTCGTTGGCGGCCGGGTCATAGGCCACGGCGCCCTCCTCACTGATCATGAAGATGAGGTCCTGCAGGAACATGCCAAAGCGCAGGGTGTCATTGAGAATCCCGGGTAGGATTCGCTCAGCCTCCTCCTCCTCCTCCTCCGCCTTGGCTTCGGCTGTGCCCTTGTCAGAGGCCTTAGCCCCCGCTGCCTCCTTTCCCTTCTCTTTTTTCTTCTTGCGCAGCACGGTGAGGCGGCCCTCGTGTGCATCCTTCACCATCTGCACCTTCCGCAGCAGCTCGGGCTGGGCACGCACGAGAGGGTGGCGCTCCACGCGGCTCTCCAGGAAGGCGCGCGGCAGCAGGCGGCAGCGCACGCTCTCGAAGACGGTGGGCAGCGCGCGCTGGCGCTCCGCCTGCGCCTCGGCGTCCCCGCTGCTCGCCCATCGCATCACCGCCTCAAACACGGCCTCCTCCTTCTCCACGTTGAGGCCGTCGCTGGAGATTATGGCGATGAGCTCGTCGGCCGAGAGCCCGAGGAAGTCGGCGTCGCGGGCCACCAGCGAGAAGCGCGCGCAGATGAAGTCGCGGGCGGCCACGGCGAGGCGTGCGCAGTCGAGCAGGAGGCCGAGGCGGAAGACGGCCAGGCAGTTGGCTAGGCACAGGCGCTTCTGCAGGAAGGACACGCAGATGGTGAAGATGGACGGGATCTGGAAACGGTGCGCCGCGGCGAACAGATCCTGCACACTCGCCTCGTCCAGAGCGATCTCCGACGTGTACAGGTAGTGCAGCACCTGGGCCACCACGTCCGGGGACACCTCCTCCAGGCGCAGCTCGCCTGCGCGCTCCGGCTCGGCCAGGAAGCGCGCCCGGAAGTAGGGGCTGCAGGCGGCCAGCACTAGGCGGTGACACGGGAACTCCCGCTCACCCACCCGCACCACGCAGTCGAGGAACTTGCCGTGGTCCAGCATGTCCTTGAGCCCGTCCTGCAGGAGCGTCTGCTGGTACAGCCGCTGCTCCTCCGCCTGCTCCAAGCCCAGCGCCATGGTGAGTGGCCTCCTCGCGGCACTCCCTGCCTTCCTGCTGTGTCGCGCTCAGTCTACGCAGCTGTCCAAGCGGGCTATATATAGAGGTGGACCGGGCCCTGTAA